ATTTAATGAGATATGTATAATATATCCATTTAATTGTCAAGTTTTTTGTGAAAATGCCGATTGGTTGAATTTGTTGCATCAGCTATAAAAGTGTTAATAATGTATGTTCTTGATTCAATTCATAAATCAGAAGTATATAGTTATATTTCGTTATAAGACGATTATATATATATATATCATCTTTCAGTTTATTATAATTATAAACTGAAAGATGAAATAAAGTTTTAATAATTAAAATAGTTTTATTATAACAGTTTATTATATAATAACAATTATTTAATAATAATAATTGTTAATTTTATTTGTTTTTTTGGGGGGTTTTCAAACAATGTTACCACAAGGTAAGTTCTGGTCAGGTCTGTTTTCCATACATGAAAATGCAGGGCGATCACTGGCAGTCGAGTTCAGTTGTAATATTGCTTAAAGAAATGTATATTATATCATGATGTGAACCTGACCCCTATGCATACTACAAAATTACACCACTAGACTATCATGACTCATAATTTACATAGAAGTGCCAGAACTGTCACTGCCTCCTCAAAAAAGAAAATAGGTACAAGACGCCCCTGAATGTAATACATGCAAGTCTAGTCGTGCCCTTGTGTCTTAGAATGATCAATTAATCTATTAAGCAAGTACTGACTGCCATTACGTTCAGTTAGTACTCTTGAGTAAAGAGATGTGTTTGAATACAATTCATGCAGATGCCTGACCACACCATCAGCTCATAGACCCACTATTATCCTTACTGTCTTTACCCCCAAACAGAAAAATATGAATGGCTGTCACATATGAAAACAGCAAAACTCCTCCTAATTTCTGTACCAGATTTATTGTACTCGCACTTGTTTGTATTTGTACAGGAAGCACTTATTTCCTAGCTGTCAGCGTTCCAGATTACATGCTTGCTATCTTGTTGAGCAAAATGGTCTCAAATGTGTGGCTATAAGTCACTCTGGTTCATGTAAACTCTGGCTGTAAAAGTGAGCAATTAGTAATTATGCTTGCATAGGTATATCTTATGTTGAGTAAACTTTAAACACTGAGTGGCCTAATGTGACAGGCATGAGATGCACTGCATACTTAATCACCTTTCACCTGTTTGGTGTTTGGGTATATGAATGGGAGGGAGGTGAATGTACTAGGAGTGGAGAGGGAAGGAAGTTGATGCTTGTTTTCAAGGGCAACTCACAAGCCTCTTCCTCTCTCAACGCAAACCTGCAAAGCATCTCCTCATTTGCTTATTGAGGGCTGTTGCACAAATCAAATCGTGTTGATTTGTTCAGGCTACAGTGGCCAATGAGAATGCGAGAGGAGGGCACGGGACAGAGGGCAGGCTGCTTGTCCAATCCGGACCGAGTTGGCCCGTGCACGCGTCACGCGCTACGTCACAGGGGATAATAAATCTCTCCGCCTCCATCTCAGCGCTCGGGAGCTTTCCCAACACAAAAGCAAAATGTCCGCCATGTTCAGAGGCTGCGCTGCTCCGGGTCTGCGGATATTTTAACAAAAAATAGCCGTTTTCGTCACCGGGAGGCCGCCCGACCCGATGCTACGAACCAGAGGGACAGTAGAGTCTCACTGTCAGCAAAAAAATCTCCGCTTTAACCACATATAAGCACAATTTAGTAGTATTTATTTACCTTTACGCCGTATGGTGGATCATCGAATGTAACTAGCATGTACCTGTCGCCTCTACTAGCCGGGTCTCGGGCACGCAGCTGTTAAAGAAAACGAAACAATAAACATTCATTTAAACTGATCCTGTCATAGGGATCCTTAACTCCAACAAGGTACAACAGTAAGCTGAAAAAGTCGGGGTAAAATTATGCTTTACCTTCATAAAGATCTCAACCGCGCCTTTAGCAATGTCCAGATACGTCGTACCCAAATAAGTGCGCTGATTCATAGAAGCGGACGTGTCTATCAGAAAAAGTAAAATAGGCATTTTGAAATGTATAGATATACCTCTAGATGTTTGCTAGAATATCTACAATCGGCATATGACCTATCTTGCGGCCCTGGGCATGCATATATGTGTGTATATATTTTGTTATAATCAGACCCCCCCAAAAGAGGGTCGTACTGCCACCCTTTGCAGCCGCCTGATTCTCTATCTGTCTTTTCTGAGCAGTGCTGGGCTCGCGCTGTTAGAGAACTTCTCTTCCGAACAGACCGAAACGCCTTCGCCCCGCCGCTGCTACGCCATTGGCTGAGCCGAGTCGCGAAGCCACGCCCACTCTCCTATAAATACGCAATGAGGTCGTGGAATTCCTCAGTTCTCAGCGCTCGCTTGAGCGGACGAAGGTGGAGAGGGCGAGGATCTCATGTGTAATCCAAGTGCTTTGTTTTTGAGTTTTAACGGCCGCTTTTGTTATTATATTGTGTGTTACACCGATTTAACAAGTTATCAGAGTTCATTTGTAATCTATAGAGTTCCATTTTCGTCTTGTGTAAAGGGCGACCCCCTCCTCGTCTGATCCTGGTCTAGCTGTCTTGGTGGGGGTGGGGAGTAGCTTGGGTGATTTTTATAATAATTGTGCCTTCCTCTGACCATGGAGAAATCCATCCTCGTCCGCTTTCCCCTCCTCTTGTTAATCTCCTTCGAGAGACTAGAGTATAGGCAAGCGCCATGTTAATATAACAAGAGACCGTGACAACAGCGGCACAGAAGCGAGAGGAAAAGGAGCGTCGTCAGGCGCTGGCTCCTCCTAATCGCGCTCCTCGCTTTCCGTGAAACCTCGCTGCACATGCCCTTTGGTTTGTTGAATGTCAGATAGGGACCTGCTAGGTAGTCCTATTCACCACAATCCCACACACTGGACGAAAGCTAGCTCATATAGCTAATACTTACAAGGTGTTTTAATATCCGCAGGAAATAGCCAGTGAACAAGTGCCGATGATACAGTACCCTTTATTATAATCGTTCAGCCGCATTTTTACATAACTACTACATCTCAATAGCCTGCTCCAATGTCATTGGAGTCCTATCCGAAACATAAAATCCCCATATTGTAGAGCATATTCGACTGTCCTTTGAACCGCACGGTTTCTGTGATAGCCGTTACCTGGTTCACAACAAAGCATACATTTTAAAAGTGAAACGGCCAGTGTTGTTCATTCATGAACTGTATGCGTGTCCCCTGAGAGGTTTAAAAAAAACAAAAAAAAAGGTCGTCATGTTGTTCTTCCTGTTTTCATTTCTCTGTAATCGTTTTTTTTTTGTAATGCAAAATTGTCTTTCAATTTGCTCATTGTGCAAATGTGTGCAAGCGGTCACAAATGTTTTGATTATGGGTTGTGCCCTAAAAAGGCGGCGGTGGATAGTTGACGTCTGAATGAGCATGCATTCTAAAGGCGTGCAGGTTTCTTTAGGGCGAGTTGTTTACTTTAATAAACTAAACAGGCAACGTGCTGTATGTCGTTGTCAAATCTAATGTCAAGTTCGGTTTACTGATACTGATAAACACACACACACACACAAAGGAATTATTTTTAGTGGTTTCCTGTGCTTTCCATTTGTTAGCATCTTTAAGAAAAATATTTTTGTGTTAACGAGATGCCTGCTTTGAGCTTTGCTGTCAAACCTTAAAGGGACAGTCCACCTAAAAATACAAATTCTGTTACACAAAAGACATGACAGTCACCATTCAGTTTAAACTGCAAAAAGATGCAATGACAGTGAATGGTGACTGAGTCGTTCAGCCCCCGTAACATTCAGCCCAGCGTCTCTTTTACTCTACCAGTGAAGAAATAAAGCCACACAGGTTTAGGCAACAACAAAGGCGAGTGATGCTAGAATTTTTATTTTAGGGTGAACTGTCACTTTAAGACTTTTCATGACGGGTAAACGGTCCCCCAAACTGTAATTAAGATTTGGAGATATAAAACGAAATACGGACATCATGTATCTTCTGAAAACATTTCCAGAGAAATACTATAAATAACAGAAAGTAACGTTTGCGAAACTCAGTGACGTCATAGAAGCCTTTGGCGGAACTCCTGAAGCCCTCCAGTATCCCAGCATTCAACGCGCTGACGAAGAAAAAGGAAACCGGGTGGGATTTGGAATAAATATCGTTAAACGGGAGCGAGGTAAACACAGACGTTTTTCAATTGTTTTCGATCTACCTTATTCTTTAAATAACAACATTGAATAACGCAATTTTAAACGCTTTGTTGTCTCGATTTTACCATATTGTTATGCTAAAAGCATTAAAGGGTAACCATAGCATCAATACGTCTACATCCAGTGAACAATACAGAACATTGTGTCTATTGAATACTTTAACCAGTAACAAAACTTGCAAACGGAACATCTTATTAAGTGACTAGTTACTGTGGAAAACTGAAATGCCAGCGTTTGTTAATCATTTTTCAAGCAGGTAACGTTACTGACATATTTCTTGAATTTCGTTTAACATTAGACAAGCAGATGTATGATAGTTAAGGAATATTTGACATCACACGGTTTATGTATAGGTTTAATAAAACATGAATGTCATGTTACATATAGCTATTTCTCTGCTACCTGTCAGCAAAACGCAATAGACTTCCAGAGGTAACTTACAGTGGGTTTCGTATTTAGCTGAGTATTTTTCTTAAATGCCTGTTGGGTGTATTTATCTGACAATTGTAAAACTCAGTTAAACCCATCTCTAGACAGATATTTTAGAGCAGACATCCTTGTATCTGCCAGCTGTCATGCTGTCTCATTGACCTCACTAGTATGATGTTAGGCGGTCAAGTTTGACGTTGTTTATTTGCTTTAGATCGTGTTGCGAAATCCTTGAGTTTCAGACGAATTCAGTAAACATGGTCACATGACTAGCCACGTGTAGGCAGTAGCTTGTTTTTGTACAGAGATCTTGGCCATCATCTATTAGTCATTATTACATTGACACCATTATCAGATTATATTGACACGTGCCTTGCAGTTTGCTTTGGCTTTCGTTTTATTTACCTGCTCAGCTATAGTAACAGCTGAATTATACAGTATTATTTATGTAAACAACAGCTTTTCAGTTCATGCTTGTGTTTAATTTACTTTTCTGAAGCATCCCTTGATTATTCTCATGCCAAAAATAGGTCTGGGAGAAACTGTTGTTATGTATTCATTGTATAATTATTCATCTAATTTGTAACTTATTTCAACAACGTGTTGCAGTAGTTCTCGGCTGCTTTTGTTTTATGACAGATATTGTCAAGTTGCCCAGTACTGTACAAGTTGTTTATTGTACAAAATGTACTTCAAATCAAAAAGAGATTTACTAATATTACTATGAACTACATAGGCATGACAATTAATATGATATAAACAGTATGATACAATAATTATCAACAAGACACACTGAATAGGAAAATCTATAATTTTTGTTTCTAAATTGTTATATATTCTGCATTTCAATTCATGCATGTGTTTACTTCACTTTTCTGACGCATACTTTTATTATTTTCATGCCAGAAATAAATCTGAAAGAAACTGTTGTTACTTAGACTTATTCATGCTGTCAGTTGTAATTTATTTAAACCTCCTGTTGCATTAGTCCTAAGCTGGTTTTGTTTTAGGACTCAGATTTTATGTCAATTTGCCCAGCACGGTACTAAAGTAGTTTATTGTACAAAAAAATGTCTTTCAGATCAAATATTGACATATTACATATTTTTTTATTAACATGATACATTGAATAGGATAATTAATCATTTTGGTTTCTAAATACTTATGAAGTCTGAATAATTTTATAACAGCTGATAATTCATTTTTTGGTCATGACCCACCATTTGAGTATGACTGTGTTGTGTGCAGGGACGGTTTCTTTATTAGGGCAATAGGGCGACGCACCACCAAAGTGCAAAAGGGAGGGATTTTTTTTTATCACATTCAACCACAGCTGTTCTAGATTGTTTCTTCTGCCTCTGGATCTATAGTCCAGCGTCAAGTCACGTTCTGTGGAGTACCGCCCCTTTTTGGGCGATTTCACTATGGCCGAGAATCGCCCAGACTGTTCTCTAGTTATTATTAATGTGCAAACAAACAAACCGTGTATGTGCGCTCTCTGATAGCTTTTTGCATGAGCACATTTATGTATGGTTGCATGTCTGGCAGGTGTTTTATAATGGACACTTGCTGAAGAAGCCTGTTTTTATAGGAGTTTGCAATGGTCAGTGGGGTTTATGTAGACACTCAAACACAGACACCAACACTCACTCTGACAGAGAAACTGTTCACTGGTCATGTTGAGCTGCCTTCATATCGCCACATTCGACAAATTCAGACTGTTTTTATTTGCCTTTTTAATTTGTGTTTTGCTCTGTTTAATAATTCTGAATGGATCTGTATATATTTATATACAGTCTGGTTAAAGGGTTAGTTCACCCAAAAATGAAAATTAGGCTGCGTTTTACTCACCCCCGAGGCATCCTAGATGTATATGACTTTCTTCTTTCAGACGAATCCAGTCAGAGTTACATAAAAAATTGTCTTTGATCTTTCAAGCTCTATCATTGCAGTCAGCGGGTGTTGCATTGCTTCAGTCCAAAAGAAGTTAAATAAACGCTGCAGGAGGACTTTGTTCACCCCCCAGAGCCGTGTGAGACACTTTTTTTTATGCATGGGCGATTTTTATTTAACTTCTTTTGGACTGAAGCAATGCAACACCCGCTGACTGCAATGATAGAGCTTGAAAGATCAAAGACCATTTTTAATATAACTCCGACTGGATTCGTCTGAAAGAAGAAAGTCATATACACCTAGGATGCCTTGGGGGTGAGTAAAACGCAGCCTAATTTTCATTTTTGGGTGAACTAACCCTTTAAGGCGACTGGTATAGTGGCCTGTTGGCATCTTTGTGTGGTCCTGTTTAGTATTGCAGCTTGACTTGTAGTTAGTTATTTATTATAGAAAATGCTCTAAACAAATGTAACATTTATTTTTTTTCCTCAGTTTTTGCTGTTGCACTGCATACATAAATAGTGAATTATGAAAATTAAAAACTGTTTTAATTTACCTTGAAAAAAGTTTGCAGAAAATATAGTTTTGTGGGAAATGGGGAATCATCCTCAATCTTGAACTTGGTAAAACAATTATCTTTATTTAAAATGTTTCAAGTCTTAATACTTTTCCCTTTGTTATACTGGAAGAAATCATACCGGGATGTATGCTAAATTTGTTTGATGTGGCGCCCTACCATATATATTTTCCACCAGCCGCCACTGGTTGTGTGGCCTTCCCTTCACAAGTTCTGGGTCAGGATTTTTTTATGTTTTTGAAAGAAGTCTCTTATGCTCACCAAGGCTGCATTTATATGATCAAAAATACAATAAAAGCAGCAATACTGTGAAATATTATTACAGTTTAAAAGAACTGTTTTCTATTTAAATATATTTTCAAATGTAATTTATTCCTGTGATGCAGAGCTGAATTTTCAGCTTCATTACTCCAGTCTTCTAATATGCTGATTTGCTGCTCAAGAAACATTTATTATTATTATCAATGTTGAATGGATGAAAAGTTCAAAAGAACGCCATTTATTTGAAATAGAAATCATTTGTGACATTATTCAAAAGTCACAGTAGGGCATCCTTGCCCAATAAAAGTATTAAAATCTTACTGACCCCAAACTTTGGAACAGTAGTGTTACAGTTACACATAGTGACTTTAGCCATTCAGTTCACACTAAATGTGGGTTTTTGTGTATTTTTTTATATTCTGTTTTGTTTTTATTATTATGAGTAGCTTTGTTATTTCTGTTTAAACATAGTTTTTGTACTCCTGCCTCCTGTTGTCTGTCATGATGAAATGGCCCCATTTCTGTCATTTCAGAGGTGAACGTCATGCTGCCAAAGAGCGGAACTGGCTGCATTTAGAACGGGATCTCTGCACCGTTTCAGCCTAGAGACGGAGTGGGAATACGATAAAGGCAGGAGGACGTGAGCTCAGCTGGAGCCAATGCAGCAGCAGAGCCGGCAGCCTGACCTAGTGGAGGGAAGCCTTCCAGTGTTTGTGTTCCCCACCGAGCTGGTGTTCTACGCAGATGAGCAGGCTTCACATAAGCAGGTGCTCACCCTCTACAACCCTTATGAGTTTGCTCTTAAATTCAAAGGTGAGTCATACATTTTCCTTAGTACCCACGAGAAGCCTTCTTACAGTAGAGTGCTGTAGTGGTCCTTCCTTTCTTACTGTTTGTTGTTTCATCAGTTTTGTGCACAGCACCAAACAAGTATACCGTGGTGGATGCCACTGGTGCTGTTAAACCACAATGTTGTGTGGATATGTAAGTTTCCAGGTCTTGCACTTGAAATATTTTAAGCAGATTTGATTTGTTTCAGCCTTTCACAACCTTCCATTTCTTGTGATTTTCGCCAAACAGCGTGATCCGCCATAGGGACGTGCGGGCCTGTCATTACAGGGTGATTGATAAGTTCCGGCTGCAGGTGTCTGAGCAGAGTCAGAGGAAGGCTTTGGGCAGGAAGGAAGTGATAGCCACTCTGCTGCCCTCCGCCGCTCAGGAGCAGCCCCAGGTCCGGCCCCAGGAAGAGGAGCGCAGCATGAAGGAGCAGCTTGCCGACAGAGTGTTCTTTGAGCAGACTGCATTCCAGACAGGTGCATTTCACAGTCAACGTGCATTTATGTTCTTAATACACATTCTTGGTTCATACTGCGATTGATTCATAGGCACTTGTATTTCTAAAGAAAAAAGCTGGTAATCTTACTTCAAAGAGTAATGGCTTTCTCCATCTTTTCAACCCTCTCCATTTTTTTAAACGCCCAATCCACCAGTCATCGAAACAACTTTTTATAATCCAGGCAATTCACTAAGGATAAAACCATGTCTTAGCTTTTTTGTTGTTGTTGAATACCTTGTTTTAGTCAGAAATGCGTCACAATATGAAAGTAGTACAGTATAAATAATTCTGAAAAATTTGATATATACATATATTTATGTATATTATTGTTTATTTTATGTATTTATTGATGTTACATATTACTTAAAAAAATTACAAATATACATTTAATAAATATATATAAATTCTAAACATTTTATACACACATTTTTTCTTCAAAAAGTACATTTCAATTTATTTATTTGTTTGTTTTTTTATTTCTTCACAAATGGAAATTTAGCATTGTATTTTGTTTTAATATTTGCTAGAAGTAATAGTATTATTTTTTATTAAATGATACGTTTTTGTAAAGTTGTTTTGTTTTACAATTTTTTTTTTTTTTTACTTTTTCTTCACAAATTGAAATTTAGCAATGTATTTTTTATATTTACTAGAAGTAATACTTCTGTTTTTTATTCAAAAGTAAAAAAAAAAAAATTTCCAAAACAATTTTCATAAATATTTTTGTTTCACAAACATAAAATTTGCGACAAGCTTGAAGCTATAATACTGCTGTAATATAACTCATAAATTCATAAACACACTTTTGCTTGAAAATAATAGCATGGTTTGTAGCTTTTCCCTGCTATCTTTGGGCTGCCTTACTGAGCTGCAGTAAAGCTGTTGCTGTTAACTACTTTAATCACTGGGGGGGGGTTGTGAGGATGGAGGGGAAGCATGTCTGAGAAACTCCCTATAAACAGGAACTAACTTCTTAAATGATCATCACAATCTCACAGACACAATGAAGACACAAAGATCCATGGGCGAGGGGAGGGGAGCGTTCTGTGTTTACAGGCTGAACACTGACTGAGCTTGGCATTGAATCTGGCTGACTATGTTTTTGGGGGGGTGGGGTGTAGAGGAACATGAATACATTAAATTAAATGTGTTGTTATACGTCATATTCTGCGTCTCTGGATTTTTGTTGCTTCTCTCAAGACTGAAATGGCTTTTTTTGTTCCGATGTTTGTCCACTGCTTAAATCTTGTGCACCGTAATCTCTATAGATGCCACATCAAATAAAAAAAATTGATTGTTAAAAGCATTTCCTAGAAACAGTTTTATGTTCAAAAGTATTGGTAGTAACATTAGTTTCTGAATCATAGTTCAGACGGATTAGGAAGCAATATGTAACAGGAGTGTGATAAATGTTTGTTTAGAAACAAGCTGATTAATTTCAGCATCCCTGAAAACTGACGTCTTGTCCTCCAACTAATTTAGTGTAACATTTGGAAAATATAGAGGAAACAGAATTAGATACTCAGTAAGCTGGCAGTAATGCAATGTTTTTACTTGGCTTGTTTAAAAAAAAATTTTTTTTTTTTTAATAAGTTATAACAGATTGAAGAACAAGTTTGAATATTAATGGCTCTTTCCACCCTCTCTGCCAGAAACTGTATTAGAAACCCCTTCCTAACTAGTTGCTGTATTACCCAAGGTAATATAATGCATGGTTTTAGGTTCTTTTGCATTTCTACTCATCAAAGAGGAGCACAACGGTTTTCAACACTGATGAGAAATGTTTCTTGAGCAAAAAATCAGCATTTTAGATTGATTTCTGAAGGATCAAGTGAGACTGACTGGAAAAATGACTGCTGAAAATTCAGCTTTGCCATCACGGGAATAAATTCAAATAGTAAACAGTTGTGTTCAATTCAATTGAAATAATATTTTATTACTATTTTTGCTTTTTTTTTTTATCAAAGAAATGGAGTCTTGGTGAGCATAAGACACTTTCAAAAATAGTTAACTTATACATTCACAAAGTTAATTTGTGGAAATTAATCACAATCTGTTAAAAGGGTCATTTCATTAAGTATGTAAATGAAGTGCACTGATACAAGAAATACCATAGAGTACATTTTAACACCTGTTAAAACCATTATGTTTTTGAAGACAATAACCACACTGACACCCGCAAATAAGTTTGGTATCACAAGACGAGGCAACAACATAGCTGGACAAATAATTTATTTCTGACATCTGGAAGTCTCTGATATGATGGGAACAAAATTTGTTCAGAGAGAGCAGAGCACAACTACACGTTCTCATGACAGCACTCAGTCCTCCTCAGTACTGTTTGAGTTGAAAGGACAGTAAAAATAATTAAATAAAGAATTCGACACGTCCACAGGACAAACTACAAATACACTTCACCCATCACTACAGGACAGAATCTGGATCTACATGACCCACTTACTGTATTTTTGTTTGCAAAGACATTCAGAAAAAGATTTACACTGCAGTGTTAAACTCAATTAAATGGGGGGAGAAAAAAAAAAAAAAAGGATTTTACAAGCACTTTCTTCTACAGAAAAATTAATTTATGATACATCATATCATGCTTAAGGAAATAAAGCAATTTCTTTGAATGAAATTTAGAAAACCGTTTACAAAAGAAAACACTTTCACTAAAGTAACTACAGCCCCAAATGAAGAACTCCTACAATTACAGTTGTACATTTCTCTTATATACAAATTTAATGGCACACCGTTTCAGTATCAGTAGATTACATTTAAAAATTTTAACTCCACAAATAACATTTTTGATGGGAGGATTTCATTTCTTTGCACTTTTCTGCTTCTCACATTTTAAACTGCCAAATGTGTCGCTGTTAACAGCCTCTGAAAAACAACACTGAAAACTGTAGAGCGCATTCTCCTCCAAATCCTTCCCGAATAACAGAAACGGGGCGAAGTCGCTGCGCGAGAAGCAAAAACATACAATGGACATCATTCATCTCAGCCCGGATGTTTTGCTCCATTCTCTGAAAGCTGTAAAAATGACAACACGGCTGTACGCACGTCTTTAGCTTGACAAACATCAAACACAGGCAATTTAGTTTCTCTGTAGTGTTCAAATCGAGGATTTAGTGGTTACCAACAGCTGCAATAATAAATCCCATCTGCAGTAGTTGTGTATAGCAACCATGAATATCATTCTAACATAGAATGAAGTGCCAAGCTCTGAAAAAATACCTTCCTCCACCTACGTGAAAATCAAGAAAAGCCCCTTTAAAGTGCAGTTGCACCGCTAATAAAACTCCAGAAGAGGCGGCTGTAAGTTTGCCGGTCGAGCTCTTTGCCTCTGCACATTTTGCCACATATCTTATGTACATACTTACTTACAAATAAAAGCAAAAAATAAGTTAAATTCTCACGCACAAAACCGGTTGGAAACCTGTAGTTGTTCTCCTGTTTACAGCGGTTTTCTTTTCGAAGCGGTATCAAAAAGATAATAAGGGAACCAAAACAAAAAACTAAATCCAAGATCCTCTTCTGTGACGTTGTTCGCTTTGATACAGATCCATACACCATGTTTTACATCTATTTATAGCAGCTGATGCAAAAAACATCCACAGTCTCTCCATGCCCTTAGGGTCTGTCCCACACGGAACACTCTCTCGCCTCGCTTCAAATGTAACATAACAGGACAATTCAGGAAAAAAACAAAAGCCATGTTTGGAAGGCATTGGGAATAAAAGTAAAATGAGTGGAAAAGGGCCTGAGAAGGGGCCCAGTCCTCCTGTGATGTTCGTGATGCTCAGCGGATCACTTAGGGGAGAGGTCCTGAAGGGGCGTGAGGGACGAGTTACTGGAGGAGGGCGACACTCCTTCCATCTTGGCGGGAGAGTCTGAGGAGGAGCCGACGCTACTGAGACTCCCATCCAGAAGATCTGGTGGAGAAAGACTGCTGGAGAGACACAGAGAGAAAGCATGTTACAAACAGGTCCTTTTTCACAGCTGGAATACATTCATAACAAAAATAAACGAGTTTGCTATTCATTTTAGTCTCGACAGTTTTGTGTAAAGTTTTCCCCAAATAATTAAGCCAGAATTATATTTTGAATGGACTCAGCAAAAAAGAACATGACAAAATATAATCTCTAAAATTTCTGTAAGTAATTTTAGAACCAATGGGATTGATATCTATATTCCAGTAGATGACACTTGATACGAACTTCAATTTCACAGCAATATTCAACAAAGTAATATGCTACTACACACAATAAATAAATAATTAGCAATATAAATAAATCAACAACACGCAGCCATACCATTTTACAGTATTAAGTAAATAATGCTTCAAGTTTTCTCATGTAGTTATTTAACTAAACGGTCATTATTAAAATAATGAAACAAAATGTAGACAATATTCTCTTTTTTCCTGCCATTTAATAATTGACATAGTAGTCATTAATGTTGCCATAATACTGGAAACTCTAACTTTGCTACAGTACCTTGAAAAATATCCACATTTGATACCATGGGGAAACATTGTCACAAAATAAATGGCATTAAAATTTAACTAATTTTTAATATGGAATTTACTTTTGATCGGTCAAAATATTTTCTTAGCAACTGAGACTCTTATTATTAGTATTATACTAATTATTAAATAAATATTACTATTGTTATAAAAATTCCAGTAAAAAACAAAAGGGGAAAAAAAGTATATTTTGCTTTACAGTAGTAAAAATACAATACTCATGTCTTCAATTTCAAGAGATAGGCTATGTTTTATTCTGGAAAAGTACAGGGAAACTTCAGTTTCTATGACAACGGGTTTTGACTTATCACAAATCGTGGACTGTCCATGAAGACATAAAAACTGACCTGCACGCTAAACCCACCCGAGAAACAAAAATAAATAACAAATTTTGATTACGTCACACAGACGTGCGTGGACCGTTGTATAACGTGGACTGAAGTATACTTTGGGCTTAACTGTGAACAGAGCCACTCTGAGATGCTGGAAACACTGGATCATGAGCTGCAAGCGTGTAAATGAACAGAGTGCTGCGTTTCACTATGAAATATGCAACGCAATGGACAGTATACTACTTTACACACACTGCATGTGGTGTCAACTCACTGTCAGAGAGAAGATAGCGAAAGTGTGCAGCTTGTATCGATACTGGGAGAAATGAGTAATGAAAGTTTGAAATATTCATATGAATTGATATATACCATTGTTGTTGTTGTTTTTGGACAACACTAGTAGACAGATTAAAAATAGACGGAGATTATATAACGCAAAAACATCCAAGTACACATCTACTTCTCATATAATGTACTCAAAATTAAAATACTAAGTCCACTGTGAAAACTCACCAGGTGTTAAGTTCAGGCAAGTGAGACACCTCTGTGGACAGCATGTTGGTGGTTCCCTGAAAGAGTCTCTTGGGCTGGCTTTCTGTCTCCATTTCACCTGAGGATCCACCAAAATATTTTATTTTTATTTTATTTAGGCATCCCAGCTGTAACATTGCAAAAGAAAGTGTCTTGACTGCTTCCTTACTTTTGCGTTTGAGAGGGCCCAGAATACCAGGCCTGATGCAGTTGATCGGGCTCTGACTCCTCCTGCTGGGCAAACTTTTGATGAGTGACATCAGCTACTCAGCTTAATATCCTACACTATTATGCCTGATGTCGGCAGAAAACATTCCTACTGTGGCGGGATGCCTGAACAGAACTTACCTGAAGCGGCGTGTTGGGCTGGGAACAGGGCTGGGCGTCAGACCGTTACTGGTCACCAGGATTTGAAGAGACGGAGAGAAACACTGCTGCTCATTGAAGAGAAAGTAGTCAGTCAAAGCATTAAGCCTTAAACAACAACAACAACAACAGTACAGCAAGTTATTTATTTAAAAAAAAAGGAAGAGATACCTTCTTTCCGATCCCTCTGGTGGGCGAAGGAGCAGGAGACACAGGCACAAAATCAATCCGCTTCGGAGACGACGATGAAGATTTCTCAAGATCATTATCACTCTAGAATCAAGCACAACCATATAAATCTCTTACCCAATATGACAGAATTATTACCACTAATTAACCACTTGATTACTAATGTAGTGTCGGAGTGTTATACTACCAATCCAGTCTGTTCTTGAAAGACTGGTGGCCCTGTTGACTCCAGGAGCTTTTTTCTAGCATGCTTCCATTTTCTCTTCCACAATCCCATCAATAAGGGAAGAGGAAGTGTAGCAACAGAGCTACTGCATGCATCATATTATCTGAGTGAGAACATTGCCTCAACTTTTACACACAATAATAATTGTGAAGATTCCGTTTAAAGGAACACTCCACTATTTTTGAAAATAGGCTCATTTTCCAACTCCCCTAGAGTTAAACAGTTGAGTTTTACCGTTTTCGAATCCATTCAGCCGATCTCCGGGTCTGGCGGTAGCACTTTCAGCTGTAGCTTAGTAGGGCTGGGCAAAAAAAAAATCGATTTTTCGATATATCGTTTTTTTAAATGTGGTCGATTCAATATCGATTCTCGAAGGCCACGAATCGATTTTTTTCAATATCATCATACTTGTGAATGCGCTCAGGGGAGCTTCAAATGTGTCTACGTGTTTTTGCAGCGTTGAGTAATGTATCATAGACGTATCTCACGAATCCTTTCATAAGCAAAGTGAGAGATTCATTGCGCAGTGTAGAGAGCTTCGTTGATTATAGATGTGAGATCGAGATGAACTAAGATGAGAGCCAGCTTTTTCGAATCGAATTGGAACATCTGAATCGATACCCAGCCCTATAGCTTAGCATAGATCATTGAATCTGATTTGAGCGAGATGCTAACGGTCTAATGACCACAAAGAGTTTCTATATTTTTCCTATTTAAAACTTGACTCTTCTGTAGTTACATCGTGTACTAAGACCGACGGAAATTTAAAAGTTGCGATTTTCTAGGCGATATGGCTAGGAACTATACTCTCATTCCGGTGTAATGTAATCAGTCCGTCGGTCTTAGTACACGATGTAACTACAGAAGAGTCAAGTTTTAAATAGGAAAAATATAGAAACTCTTTGGTCATTTTTGAGCGAGATGCTAACGGTCTAATCAGATTCAATGATCTATGCTAAGCTAAGCTAAAAGTGCTACCGCCAGACCCGGAGATCGACTGAATGGATTCGAAAATGGTAAAACTCAACTGTTTAACTTCAAAAATAGTGGAGTGTTCCTTTAAAAAAATTAATTATACATTTTGCAATAATAATAATAATATTATACACAGTTTAAAAGTTTTGGTCATTAAGTTAAATACTTTTATTCAGCAAGGACACATGCATTTGATCAAAAGTGATAGTAAAGACATTGATAATATTACAAAAGATTCTTGAAAAGAATGCAAAAGTATTCTGGAAAAAACATTTAACATTGATAAATGTTTCTAGAGCAGCATATCAGCATATTAGAATGATTTCTGAAGGATCATGTGACACTGAAGACTGGA